TATGTTAATGAATGATAATAAAAACCCCCAAAAACAATCTATAAACAAAAGGAATAAAGAAACTTAAAATCGTAAAAAGACCCAGAAGCCCGCGCCCTCGGAGAAATCGATCGCGCTCGCGGACACCCCAGAAGCCGCGCCCGCGGGGCCAAGGCCCGCGCCAGCGGGGAGCCCGCGGCCAGCCCGCGGAGAGTTACTGCCCAAAATCGGCAGAAATGGGTTGCAGCAGATTTGCAGGCCAACTTTGGAAGGCTGTAACTCGCGTTCTAGGAATTTTATGAAGGCGTGCAACCTATTATTGGAAAGCTCTTCAAGTCTACTTTCCAACCCAACTTGAATCACCACAATCCGATCTGTACAACTCGAGATATGGCCGAAACAACTCACAAAGATCCTTTTTTATACTTTGTAAGCCTTCATTTTCCTTTGTTTCTTGGATTGGCTTGACTTGCGTGTTTGGCTTCCCTAACTTGGCTCCGTTAAATTCCTTGAATGCACTTGAGCTCCCTCCTTGATGATTAAATCCCGGGAAGCTCGACACACCTACAAAACAAGTCAAACAAACGGAGAAGCGAGGGAAAAAGTCGAGAAATGAATAAAATAATAAGAAAACCACTAAAAGCACGCATTTCTCTAAACTAACACACAAACACGCAAATAAAGAATTATTCCCTAAAAACACGACATAAACGACTAAAAACGAGCATAGAAATATAAAGAAAACCTAGCCTAAAGGTGTCATAAATGGCACAGATCAATAACCCTCTAATTTATATGGTTATGAGATGTTTTGGTAGATTTGTGATGTTTACAGGTTGAGCTTTAAGTGCTCTTAATATGTCCATAACCTAAGTTGGGTGGTCAATTGAGACAGCTAACATGGACACACCAAAGTGCTTTAATTTGTTGAGCTTTTGTTCTGAATGAGTCTAGAGCCTTATATTGGTTGACTCATTGTTGGATTTACACCATTTGTGTATGTTTAATCTATAACTCCTTTTGAGTGGTTTGTTGACCAGGTAGATTCAATGAGGTTGAGCGTTGCTTGCTCTTAATACTACTAGCCAGTTGCTTGAGAGTAGGGAACGACAATGATCCTTAAATGAATTAGAATCACTAGCTCTAATGTTACTCGAGTAGGGAAAAATAGTGGTACCGAATGACTGAGGTTGGGAGTATCCCTTAATGCATCTAGCCTAAGAGCTCGTTGAGCAGTGGATCGATAGATGCACTGTTGAATTGATAGGGTTGAGCTTTACATTCTTAATGTTCTTATTCCATTGCATAGAGAATCTTGGGTTTTCAAGGTGCTTGAATGTGTTTTAAGCCTACAAGGAAAGACCCTAGATATGCCGGGAATGTGTAAGTATTACACAGATGGAACACCTACGTAAGTACAAGGGGTGGCCTCCTTTAAGGGAAAATTGCGGGGTTATTTTCTTGAAGTACTCATGAGAGCCCAATGTGTTGGCCAAGACTGGCAAAATTGCTCAAGCTCAAAAGGTGATGTATGTGATAGATGTTCCTTCCTCTCTCCCGAGAGTTCAAACCTTTGGATACTCACCAGTAGGGTGTTGAATACCTGTGTCACTAAGGTATTAGTTCAAACCTTATGAATACTAGTGCTTAAGTACCTAACCTTTTATTTTACTGTTCAGATTTCATAATCTCTGGTCCGTTTGCATTAGTGGGGGATTGTTGGAGTTTTGCTAATCCTTGTAATGCAATTCAGAGTGTTATTAAGTGAGTGTGGTCAGGTGACGATGTGTGCAAAGAGCTAGCGAGAAAGAGATGAAGCACGCAAGTTTAGTGAGCCGCGCAAGGCCGAGCTAGCAAGGGAGCTATAGCTCGTAGCTAGCAAGGGATTGTAGCAGGTCCGAGCTATAGCTTGCATGCGAGAGAGCTAGAGCTCCGTGCCCAGAAAGCCTACGGTAGGGCCAAGGGAGAGCTCTCATGCGAGAGAACTATAGCTCGCTGCTCAGAAAGCCTACGGCAGGGCCGAGCGAGAGCTCTCATGCGAGAGAGTTATAGCTCGGTCGTGGGCATAGGCTTTGCGTGGAAGGCTTGCCTTATTTTGTTTCTGTTTTTTTTTTCTTCTCCTATAAATACTACTCCTTAACTCTTATTTCACACACATGTTATTTTCATTATTGAAAACCTAAATAGTTCTGAACAGTTCTTGAGCAATTCCACACTTTGGGTTCGGGTACACGAATTACGAGGAGAGTCGTGTTAAAATTGGGGAGCGTGCGTCATCAGGAAACCTGTACCGATGGTGGCGTATTTCGCTTCTAATGTAGTAGATTTTGTTCTGCGGCACAACTGTATTATTGAGATCTCCAATCAAGTATTTTCCCTTTCATCATCTATACTTTGTTATTGGAATCGACAGGTATTTTACCAACAAGTGTTAGATTCTACCAATTCATTTTTAAGATTGTCATGAGTTCATGACACTTTAGATAAAGTTAGGGCTGAGAAAAACTACCCGAAAAACCAAAAACTCGAAAACCCGTTTTATAACCTTTCTGAAAATTAGGGTACTCGATCCGATAACCATAACAGTTCGGGTATCCGTTCCGATAATTTGTTATTGGGTAAGGTTATTGGGTATCATTTTAAAATTAACGGTTACCCAATCCAATCTGATAAGCAATTATTTGTTTTTTTCCTACTGAAATCTATTTTTCCAAAATCTAAAGTCTTACTTTACTTCATAATCACTTTATAATGTCAATGATTAGTAATATTATTAATAATTTGGTCATGATCATGTGGTATTATTGTAATATTGTTAATTAGTGATAAAAGTTATCATAATAACTAAATTATTAAGTTTAATTATCATTATTGGATACCTTTTTTTTTTATGCAATTATTGGATACCTTATTGGGTACCCGATAATTGATCCGAAGATTTGGGTACCCGAACTTATCGTTTCCGTTTATAGATATCACTTTTAGTGATATTGGTTATCGAGTACCCGAACCGTTAATACTAACGATACAGGTGCCCCTCCCATGCTCACCCCTAGATAAAGTGCAGTCTTGGGTGGGAGTTTGAAGTAGAAGATGGAAAAATTTATAAGTCCATGTACTTTTTTTTTGGGGTATGAAAAATACTGAATTAATACGGAGTACTACATTTGTTACATATTATGTGCAATTTTTGTGTATTATTTGTGAGATACTCCGTAAAAAATAGGATTTTTTTACTTTTACCACCAAAACTTTTAAAAGTTTTATTTTACCACAAAAAAAATTTAAAAATTATTTTTTACTGTCTATCGTCAAAAACCTAACAGAATTTTTTAACTTCTTTGATTTTCGTTCCAAACACATGATCTTTAGGGGTTTTGGGGGGGCATTTTGGCCCTTTAGATCCAATTTGAGGTCAGCCTAGACAAAAAATGATCAAAAATGCTTCTTTTGCGGGTTTAAAAATGCCTCAATTTGCGTGAAACATACAAAACGATGCATTTCTAATTATTTTTTGTCAATTCTAACCTTAAATTGGATCCAAAGGACCAAAATGCGCCCCTAAAACCTATGAAGAACATGCTTTGCGCACGAAAATCGAAGATTTTTTACAACCGTTAGATTTAACGGTTTCTTGATGGTAGGTGGTAAAAAACAATTTATAGAAAATTTTTTGATGGTAAAATACAACTTTTAAAAGTTTTTGGCGGTAAAAGTCAAAAAAATCCTACACAATATTTAAAAATTGCACATAATATATAACAAAGATAGTAGAATGAGAAGAGGAAGAAATGAAGAATGTAATATCGTTCTTCACCAATGTATGTCATTACGGGAATCATTATCATTCAACTCAAGAACTAACAAAATGTATTAAAACCTCCAAGTAATACTAAAAATATATAATCATGACCGCAAAAATTCAACGTAAATGCCTCATTTTTTTTTGTATTGTAAATTGAGCTCGGAATTGGCAAAACTTAAAGTAAGTGTCTCTTTTTTGTCAATTGTAAATTGAGCTCGGAATTGGCAAAAACTTAATGTAAGCATCTCGTTTTTACTGGAAAAAATAGTTGCCCACTAATTGATACATTTTTGTTAAGCACAACGAGACACTTACATCATTTTTTTGCAAATTCTGAGCTCATTCGGTTCCTTAAGACCTAAAATGGCCCCTAAAACCTTAAACGAACATTTTTCAACACGCAAACTGATGAAAAAAATTGAATTAGGTCGCAATTTTATAATTTATAGCAATTTTTGGGCTGTAATTTGCATTTTTTTTTAAATGGCTGCAATTTGCGAAATACTAAGGGTCTGTTCTGATTGACTGAAATGAGCTGATATTGAACTTATTGGAGCTGAATTGAAGTGAATACTTTATGAGAGAAGGAAATTAAGAACTGAACTGAATTGAATTGAACTGAACTGAAAATAATCTGAAGAGAACGGACCCTAACTTTAAATGACTACAATTTGCAAAAAAAAATTCATATAAAGACCCTCTTCAATGGTGAGCCTTGAGTGAGTTTTTTTTTTAGGAGAGAGATAGTATTTTTGCAAAGAATGTCAATAATTTGATATCTAAACTTAGTATCTCCAAAAGAAAGTTGCTAAGTTTAGATACTCAACTTTGAGTCTCATTTGACAAAAAGTGTGGACCTTATCAATATTATAATATATTTAGTAATTTATTTAAGTTTTAATTTTAATTTTTTTCTTAAAAAAACATAAAATATGATTTGGAGGGCCAAAAATTGAAAGTGACATTAGTATACTTTAAAAAGTGTCACCATTGAAAAATTAGACTTCACATGAATTGCTAAATTGAGAAGTGGATTGGGACTTAGGTATCACAATTGGAGGTAAAAAAACAACTCATTTTGTATTTCAATACTCAAAATTAAGTCTCACCATTGAAAATGGCCTAATATGATGAAGTAACACTCAATTAATAATACGGATTATTAAACATAGCTATTAAGAATAAGGAACGAACGTACAAATGTCACAAAATCATAAGATCACCTCCATAATAATACGTAGATTATATTAATACTAGTACTTGTAGACCGACATGCACCTAATATATTCTTATTCATCTGACATATATAAGAGAATCTCCTCATAATTCAATAAAAATCCACTAACCCCCAACAAAATTACACTCTACTTTTTCCTTATAGATCTACTAACACATTTTTTTTTTCTTTTTTTTTTTTTTGAGGTTCTGCTAAAGTGCTCAACAGTCAGTCAACGGCGGTGGTGGGGACAGAAAGTGACCAAATAGTTAGCCCTAGTGCAAGTAGCAATGCTAGTGGGGTCATCATACGCGTAGGAGTAAGCGCGTGGGCAAGCTGTCTTGAATATTTTGGAGTACACTGTTGGCTTACAAGCTTGTGGACTACCAAAGGTGCCTGTGCAACAATACCTTGGTGAGTTAAAGGCTGAACAAGCACTCTTGCAAGCTACTACACCACCTCGGGCGCCTCGGACTTGGAGTCCCGTCGGGCACATCGTGTTCAAGTCGCTTATGCATCCTGCTGGTGCGCATTGTCCTGATGCTCCTTTGAAAGGTACCATTGAGATTGCGAGGTTGTAACCATCCACTAGACTTACGTCATAAAAGTCCTGTATGTTTTAATCAAAATAATATTAGCGTGTCAATAATGTAACTTTCATAGTAATAGACAAGGGTTCAAATGTACACTTATAACAAGAGAGAGCATGAATGCATCTAAAATGAGTCTGTCTCATTTAATTCTTAGGGTTGGATGGGATAATTATGAATAAATTCAGGCCATTAAAGGTAAAACCTTAACATGTTCACATGACCAACTCTTTAATCTTATTTCTGTAAATGAAAATAAGACCAAGAATGCCAATATATTAGGTGGTACTTCAACTCACATTCAATGCAAAAGGACTTATAGTACTCCGTATGAGTTACCTTCATGAAGACATACTAAAGGAGTTTTGTTCTGGTAATAATCCTAAAGTATAATCATCCTGTTGTATAATTTTGACAATAGTGCTATAATATTTCTAAAGTGTGATATTTGGCAATAGTTACTACAACACTGAATAACATGTGGATGTCAATTAATTTAGTTGGTAAAAATTTTAGTGGTGATTGAAATATATAATGTACGAAGTAAAAAATAATGACTACACTAAATCAATATATAGATGTTAACTAATTTAGTTGGTTTAAGCACAAAATTTTAACAATAATTAATTGACAGAAATTACTAAATATAAAAGCACAATACCTGCTCTTGTCCAAGAGTAATCTCAGCTAAGGTAGCAGGAGGAGCACCACCAGCACCAGCACAGTAAAGGGAGCCACCACAGTCACCGGTAGCGCACGTACCGTGACCACTAGCATCAAAGTGGCATCCGTGGCGGCCCCAAAGCCGACCGGACCACCCGGCCGGAAGATTAAGGACGTAAAATTTGTTAGGAAGCAGCTGAAATCCACCACGAGCTAGGATTTCTTTGCCAGCACTTGGCTGAATCCCTGGCCACACTGTGTACCTACATTTGTTCACTAGCACCATTTTTGCTCCATTTACTTCCCCTGTTCACATTTCCAACCAAATATTAAGGTTATTAATCCATCTTAAAATGAATTAATTAATTGTTGTAACCAAAATATAAGGTTATTAATCCATCTTAAGATGAATTAATTAATTGCTGTATTGCTATTTTAAATATATTCTCCGTTTCTAAGTTAAAGTTCATCTTGTTTGAATGGTGATTGTGTTCCAAAAAAGTCAATACATAAAGAACTTTTGGAGACGGAAGAGTATTATATACTTGTATCTAACAATAATTTCAAACATAGTATTATGTCTCCAAATCTAAGAACTTATAATTAACATATATCACGGTTTAACTAAGTTATAAAAGTTGATACATACTCTACAGGTCATATATAAATTGATTTGACTTTTAAGGTTATTAGCTTAAAAAAAGTGACCAATTTTCTTTAAATATACAGTTAATCTTAGAAATGTTCAAACTAAAAGTAACAAAATCTCAAGAGTCAAGACTACACTAAAGTATTAATTCATCAAAACAATGAAACTTAAAATTGTCATTTAGATTTATTAAAATAAATTCACAAACATGTGAAAGTAATGTAGAGTAGTCCTGTTGAAAAATAGCTTAAACTACAAATGTGACAACTAAATCCGAACAAAAACACACAAAATTCTATAGTTAAAACTGATATAAAAATGTCATTTACATGTAGTACCATATATGTTTTGACATTTGAAAATAATAGTCACGTTGACAGTATACTTAGTAACATTAAATTACAAAGAGCTTATTATATACATCTGGTCATTTGCTCGTTCAATCAACAAATGAGTAAAAATATTATTTGCTCATTTGTTGATTAAATGAGCACATGCCCCTGTACGATACATCGGGTGTATATAACAAATTTTATAAATTACAAATTTGACAACGAAATCCTAATGAAGCACACAAATTATATGGTGAGTGAAACGTAAGCAAAAAATATGCAATAATATGTATTTAAATTACACAATTAAATACTAACAATATAGAAAATAAGGAAGATTAAGGCATTACATGAGTATAATGTGCAAAATATGCATCAAAAAGTGTGAAATTTATTACCTGGAAGAGAGGTAAAAATGAGGCAAAAGAGGAGAGAGAAAAGGAGGTTGAAAATGGCAGCCATAGGTGAGGCAGAGTTGGTGAGTGACTCAGTGAGTTAAAGAGAGCGAGTTTGAGTGAAGTACTGAGCAAGAGAAGTGGGAATATATTGCACCTGAGCCACAAGCATTATATAGAAACAAAGAGTACGACCCAATTGAGTACACAACTTAGAAAAACAAAAAGAAAAAAAAGGAGAAATTTAATAATGGTTAAAAAATGGAAAAAAGAACTAGAGTAACGGCAATATTTTTTTTGAAAAAATTGTTGGGAAGTGAGGATATTTGTGCCTGAAAACATGTACTGTAGTCTGCCGATCAAGAACTCAGAACTTTGCATGAAATTGTGTGCTTTATTGACATTATATACATATAACATTATATACACATAGGATATTGTATTATTGTACACTAATTGGCTTTTTGATTGTAATTTCCCATGATAATTGTTTAAGCATTTTACCAAATTTTAAGTAAGATACATTAGAAATTTTTTAATCTCAGTTAAATCTAAAGTTGTGCACTCATACAGTCATATACACAAACAACAGAGGGGAGATTTCCGTTTAAAAAAATTAAGCTTCAGAGCTTTCATACTTTATCAATTAGTGATAAAAAGAGTAACCCTTCTATGTTCCATACTACTCAACTAGTTAAATCTAAAGTTGTGTACTCATATAGTCATATACACAAACAAGAGAGGGGAGATTTTCGTTTAAAAACTAAGTTTAAGAGCTTTCATACTTTACCAATTAGTAGAGGTGATCAAAAATCAGGTCGGGCCGGACCTTAACACAATTTCTTGTGCCCAAACCCGTAAAAAAATAGCAGGCTTGTCGGGCTAAAACGAGCTTTTTAGGCCGGGTTCGGGCATTTCAACTAAAAATGCGTTTTTATGCTTGCCCAAACCCAATTAGTATTATGTGCACCATGGTGCACCTAGAAATAGGTGTACCACGACTATACTTTTGAACATTTAGTAAAAAAATTTGAACATTTTACAAAAAATGAACATTTAGTTAAAAAATATGAACACGTCACAAAAATTGAACATAAATATGCAATTTTTATGTTCATATTTTATCGAGAAATGTTCATTTTGTATACATTTAATGTTCAGTTTATATTACAAAACTATTGAATTATTACAAGTCAGTTCAAAATTTGTCTGACTCGTAATAATTCAAAATTTGCGATTGTTCAGATTTTTTTACTAAACGTTCAAAATTTGTTATTGTTCATATTTTTGTACTAAAAATTCAAAATTATAGGTGTGGTGCATTGCGATTGTTCAAATTTTTTTTACTAAATGTTCAAAATTGGCGATGTTCAGATTTTTTAACTAAATGTTCAAAATTCTCGATTGTTCAGATTTTTTTACTAAATGTTCAAAAGTATAGGCATGATGCATTGCAATTGTTCAGATTTTTTAACTAAATGTTAAAAAATTGCGATGCTAAGATGTTTTTACTACATGTTCAAAATTTGCAATTGTTCATATTTTTTTACTAATTGTTCAAAAGTATAGGCTTCTAGGTGCACCATGGTGCATCTTAAAATTTGCCGCCCAAACCCGCCCTATTTTCAGGCCGCATCGGGACGGCTAGCGAGCCGGGCCAATGTTGATCACCTCTACCAATTAGTGATAGAAGGAATAACCCTTCTAGGTTCCATACTTTTCAACTAGTTAAATCTAAAGTTGTGTACTCATATAGTCATATATACAAACAAGAGAGGGGAGATTTCCGTTTAAAAACTAAGCTTCACAGCTTTCATACTTAACTAATTAGTGATAGAAGGAGTAACCCTTGTAGTTTCCATACTTTTCGTGAGTATAGTATATCTTATTTTTATATCACGTAGAAATTGATAACTGGTCATGAGAATCACACAATCAATTGCTACGAACTGAATTGAGCAACATGTATACCTCCCAAAACTTAAAAATAAATCGTATATGAACATACAAGCAAACAAACATGTTATTATCCAATACGAGAAACAAACTATTGTGTGGAAATTAATCATCCTAACATAAGCCAAGAAGTTTTCAGCCACTCCATATAATCGTCAAATTAAAGTAGCCATCTTTGCAATTGACATGTGCGAAAATTTCAAAAATTACTTATGTTTTGCCACTCATTTACAATGAGAAAAAAAATAATTAAAAAAAATAGATGAATTAATGAGGGGAGAGGGGGAGTTGAAGGCAATTGATCACCCTATATCCTTGCAAAATGAGATAATTATGTATTACTACATACGTGGTGGATGGTGGAAGAGTGAAAAAAGTACTCTGTATGAAGAATTTCGGGAATTAATGAGATTAGTTTTTAAAAAAGGAGGGAGTATCATGTGACTAGTATTAGTTGGATGTAAATTGAAAAAATCAGCTTTTTTGGGTGTGTCATTGTCTGCAATTTACTCCTCGTTTCGTGAAAATTTTAAGGTGCAGGCGGCTGTACCTTGCTTGGTACAACCAAAAAATGCAAAAAGAACATGTAACTATTTTGTAAAGAGCATACAGTTATTTTGTAAAAAACATATAGTTGTTTTGTAACGAACATCCAATTTTATATATTTTTTTCATATCTAAAGAACATCTGCAATATTAATAAAGAACATGATAATATTATGTAATAAACTTTATCTATATATAACCACCCTAATTTGAAGACAAAATTTAATAAACATTTCACATCAAGCAATGATCATTATGTTGCAAATAAAGTACATTACACTGACTGATCAATGAACATAAACATATGTTCTTTTTATTTATTTTTTTTGGTGCAAATATGTTCTTTTTACTTTAGATATATGTTCATTACATTTTAATAGTATGTTATTTTTACTTTAGGTATATGTTCATTACATTTTAATAGTATGTTATTTTCACGATAACTATATGTTCATTACATTTTAATAGTATGTTATTTTCACGATAACTATATGTTCATTACTTTTATATATCATGTTCTTTCCTACAAAACGACTGTACGTTGCGCCTTACATGCGCCTGTAGGCTGTAGGAACCAGCTATTGCTCTTTTCGAAGATTTTCAGCAAGTGTTATAACAATTAGTTGGACGAAGTTGAAACAAATTGATAGATTTCCATCTCCACTTGGAAGTAGGATTGAGGTGGAAATCACTAAATATTTAGAATCACTAAATAGTTCATCCTAAATGAATTAGTGGGAATAATGTAGCTAGAATCCTTGAAGAAAAGGGACAAGGTTCCAATTTTCTCAATAAAGTTGCAATATATGTCCATCAACACGGTACGGTCCGTTTGATAAGTCCGTAATTCATAACGATAATGATTTTGAAAATAAAGTTCTGCATATATTTGTATGATAAATTTATGTACGGTGTGATTTTGAGGTAACGAGTTTGAGTATCATCAATTACATTTGCTTTGGATAAGAATGATTCACTTACTTTTCTCATAGGTTAACTTGTGTGACCTGTGAGAGGAGTCGATTCACTAGAATCCTTCATCTTACGTACATTTAGAAAAAAAAAAAAAAAACGTCTCATGGTAATAATAGTTTATCCAACATTATCATTTTAAAATGGAGTACTTCATAACTTTTCATACCATTTGGGGGTGCAATATTCGATGATAATGAGCATTTATAAGCAAAATCACAAGTTAGAGAAGAGATTATAGGCGTCAACTTTATGCGAAAATGCCTTTTTCTATAAAGTTGTAGTCGCAGTCTGGTTGGATTTCCTGATTAGGGTCATTTTGTCGAATTCCTTGACTCCTTCGACATGGTTTGTGTTTAGACTAGCATTAATGGTTGGCGTAACTGGTATCCGTTCAATTCTCTGACTCGTAGCTACATACTTTTTGTTGATCGAACTATTAAGTGGTATAAAGTCGCTTATTAAAGCTTAAGGAAATTGCGGGGTAAAACCTCACTAAACTAATTTAACATAAAAAAAAAACAGAAAATGAGGCATAAATCAAATTTTCACCTGTTGGTTTTAGTATCACAGGCGACGGAACGACAACCTTTTCTATTTTAGTTGGGAAAGAAAGCAATTTTGATCTACTTTTGAAAAAAAAAATATATCAACAAGTTGGTTGAATTTAGGGTTTGTTCTCATTGACTGAACTGAACTGAACTTATTAGAGCGTAATCGAACTAAATATTTTATAAGAGAAGGAAATTAGGAGCTGAACTGAACTGAAAATAATCGTATGAGAACAGACCTTTATTAGCTTAGCAAATTTGTGAAAATTTGAAAATTAGAGGTTTTCCTTACTTGCATTGTGTTTCCATGCATTGTCATAGTTTAACTCTCTTAAAGTATTCATTCATCTAAAAGAAATCCAATCAGACCAAGTTGTACAATTTTTCCATGATGATTAGACAAAATAGATTTATTTACAAATATGCCATGATGACTAGGCAAACTGTTGATTTATTTACAGTTTTGTCATTTGATAAAAGGAGATAATCCGGGGCTTCCTCGCTAAAAATGAGAAAATACAAGTAAACAAAATATGTTTATCAAATGGCAAAATTGTAAATAAATCAATAGCTTTTTAATAAAGATGGATGTCACAATAGTTCGTTGATTTATTTATAAATATGATATGATAACTTGAAAATTGACTCCATAATATAGTTGATTCATTTACAAATATGTCATGATAACTAGGCAAAATTATTGATTTATTTACAGTTTTGTCATTTGATAAACAAATTTTGTTTTATCAAGGAGATAAAATGGGGCTTCCTCCTAAAAAATAAGAAAAAATTACTCTTAGAAAAAAAAATCCTAAAAAATTCTTTGTTATATATCTTCAAACCTCGCCACCATAGTAAAACTTAGTTCTTTATCGATTTTATAGATGGTAAGCCCCAAATTTTTCCTCAATTTAATGTTTTTAGCCAATAAAGACCACCAACATTATGGTGATTATAGTCAGTCTGATCCTTTTATGTGGGATTAAGTCAGTTCCGTAATGGTGGGATTTTTAGTATGTTTGTTTTTCGTGTGTATAGGGATACAAATTTGGAAAATTCTTCTTACAAATTTGTAGAATTGCGATTCTGCTGGTATAAGAGTAGCAGGGTGCAGATTTAGAAGATTCATCTTGCAAATTTGTTGATCTTGATGACCAATCAAGTTTTATCACTTTCGCGATACATACATCAATGGAGCTACATCGACCAATAAAGTTTTATCACTTTCGCGATATATACATCAATGGAGCTACATCGAGAACGATGCAATAAAGACATTTTAAATTATTTAGGTTTAGTTTAGAAGTGATGCCATTAGTTTAGTGGTGTTTAATAGTTATATTGATGATTTAGATATCTTAAGGGATGATTGTCAAGGACGAATCTAGGAATTACATATAGACCGGGCCAGATTTCTAAAGCTTATGTATAAATTAACTAAGATTTATTTAACGTTTGACTTTTATGACAAAGAATAAGAAAGATTAAAAGAATAGTAAAATAAAAAAGTAATTAATGGGCTCGTTAGGTTTCAATCTCTTAACCTACATGTCATGAGATATGAACTAAAACCAAATCAGTCAAGTAACCTTGCCTTATATTACATTGCAGCTTAAATTTTTTATATGATTTGGATCATAGGGGGGCCATGGCCTGGGCTGGCCACCCCCTGGATCCGTCTTTGATGATTATAAGTGTCGAATGACTTATAATTATTTAATGAAATCACCCTCCCCTATTCCATTCAAAAAAAAAAAAAAAAAAAAAAAATTAATAAATTGTTTGAATAGTTAGATCTGAATGAATAATCATCTCATTTCAAATTTAATACAAAATACTCTACTTAATTAACTCTAGCCATGTCTAAGGTAGATATCAACCTAAAAATGTGTATGCTACGATAGATCTTGCAAGGGAAGACATTAATTAAGAAATATAAAATAGAAATATCAATTGAGAATTTGGAGAATAATAAACTCCAAAAGACGCAAGAAGAAAAACATGAGTTGAAAAGAGTATCTTATGCCATTTAATTATTAATTTATTTCTTATTCAATTAAAACTCACAAGACTATTCATGTTCTACTAACAACAATAATTTGATGATTTACTAATAATTCAATTACTAACTATTCGTGTTCTACTAATAACAATAATTTTAGTTTACTAAAAATAATTTGAGTTAAGCAAAAATAATTTATGTTCAATAAAATAGTTTAGCTTTAGCAAATATAAGATAAAGTGAATCGAGTCTAAATTTGATTATTTCAATTAATATAGTTTAGTACGGAGTATAAAATAAGATCATATAATCATATATTCATGAGTAAGATGACTAATAGTACTTCTAACTAAAGTACAGAAACCAGAAATCTCTAGCAATCACAAATTACATAAATTATCCGATTTCTTTTACCACGTGGCACAAACACATTGCATATCTTCAATTTCATGGACCCCTTTTCCATAACCGTTAGAGAGAGAGGGAGAGGAGAAGATAGAGAAAGAATTTGGCAACTACGGAGTAATAATCGAAGGAGTTTGTGTCTCGAAACTCCTCTTCAATGGCCACATTCAACTACTCTACACTGCTTCCTCCTCGCAGGTACCCCCCCCCCCCCCCTTTCTCTTTATTTCTTTCCATTTTTAGTATGATCATAAAAATAAATTACTTATATTGTTACTATGTTACACCATTTCAATTTTATTTTAACGAGTAAGTATTAAACAATCACCGGTGTATGTAACAATTCTTTTTTTTTTTCGGGTGTTAGTCATGGGCGCAGCCCTAATCTTTGAACATAGGGCTGCGCCTCACTAACACCAACAAAAAAAATGTTATTGAACATATATGGTAAAATAACTATAAAGTACCTGTGATTGACCAATTATTGTTGGTAACTTGAGTTTATTTAAATTTGAATGAGAGCTTAAGATATATGTTTTCAGTGATTATTTTCGAGCATCTTGCTTGGCATTCCAGAGTTCTGGTAAATCATGGGTGGTGCTTCCTAAGAGATCATTTCGTCGAAGAAGACAATTTGGGATTAGAGCAGAAATTAATTATGTAAATGCTGATGAGGCTAAAGAGCTTGTAAAAGCTGATGGGTATGCAGTTGTTGATGTTCGAGATAAATCTCAATTTGAGCGCGCTCATATCAAATCGTGTTATCATGTTCCCCTTTTCATTGAAAACCAAGACAATGACCCTGGTACACTCTTATTCTTTATATACTCTGATCGCGCTTTATGTCTTTAATTAGTGCTCATTTGCTTAATAACTGACATATCAGTTATCAATTATGTTATTCCAACTCTTCATTTCATCTCTAAAAAATTGAAGTCTAGTTTGACACTTGTTATTTTGATCATGAAGGCACAATCATAAAAAGGACTCTGCACAACAATTTTGCTGGCTTGTTCTTTGGGTTGCCTTTCACTAAACAGAACCCTGATTTTGTGCAGTCTATAAAGAGCCAGTTTTCACCTAATACCAAGTTATTACTTGTATGTCAGGAAGGATTAAGGTTGGTATCTGTAGCATAACTATAATCTCTAATGTGTCTAGCTTGCTTGTGCCACTTTGAAACGATTGTTCATTAGGCTCAAATTCATGATTCACTTCTGAGTTCGTATTATGTATACAATTTTCATGTATACAGGTTGGTATCTGGAACTTAACCACCCAGAACTGATTCCAAGGGTGAACCGGGTATAACACCAAAAAAAAAAAAACATAATGTTTCATTTGATTTCATTACAAAGATCAATATTTATTTGAACTTGGAATAATGGGATATAATTTTAGTGTATCATAACAAAAGGAGTTCAATTTAGAAAATAGTTTAATTTGCTTTATATTCTTAAACCCTGAATCCTAGTTAACCTTTCTTTAAAACTGAGTTTGGTTTACTCAAACATATGATTACTGAAATGATAATTGGACTGTACGTTCGATTGAACCCTTACAGGTCTACAGCTGCTGCTAGGAAGTTGGAAGAATATGGGTTTCAGAATGTAGCATGCATAACGTCTGGGCTTCAGTCTGTAAAACCAGGTACTAATCTGATTATGCACACAACACAAATATTACTTATGTACCCCGGGTATTATGATATCAGGAAACGCCAATTGACAGAATGCCATGCTTTTAACTTATATGTAGGAACATTTGAATCTGTTGGTTCCACCGAGTTACAGAATGCTGGTAAAGCCGGTTTGATTACAGTTCAAGGGAAGATTTCAGCAGTACTTGGAACAATTCTTGTTTGTAAGTCACTCTTCTTGTCAGCCTTTAAACCGAGGAATCTCCATATAATGCTAATTTTACTTTCCTTGCAACATTGGTTTCATTATCAAAATACAGGTGCATTTCTGTTCGTCACTTTCTTCCCTGACCAAGCAGAAAAGCTGCTACCCCCAAGCTAGACCAACAATGATGAAGTGAATGCAGGAGAAAAAATAGTAGTAGAAAAGAGTTTTTGTTGCTATTTTCTGTCACTATACAAGTCTAGTCTAAGATTTAATTGTAGTGTTCTTGGAATCACAGGTTTCACTCCAATTTTTTTATAATGAGCTTGAAATTATGTAAAATGCATCCTTTTTGCTGCATTTGTATCGAATGTGATGGCTGTGGAGGTCAATTCTTGTCATGTTTGGTTTGCAGCATGCATATAGTTGTTGTTTACAATCTATTTCCTTAAATTCATAATGATGCATAATCTAATTAAGTATTGCATATGCTATGAGGCCTGTTAACGGACCACCTCAACCAAAAGCTTAAGCTGATGGTTGAGGCCCATGAATATTTGTGTCATGCTGGCTCCGATACCATGTTAACGGACCATCTCAACCAAAAGCTTAAGCTGATGGTTGAGGCTCATGAATATGTTTTATACTCTATCAAGGCCCTTAAGGCCTTAACCCACTCTGTACAAAACATACATATGACCCTTAACTCATAGCTGGAGGATGAAACACCCCTAGACTGTCGTGATGCCCTTATAACCACTTCAATATTGATGTAGTGTCTTCCATTGTTACTTCTCACCAAACAGTAGCTTCAAATTGACAATCAACAATAGCAAAGAAAGAATGGGTCTTAATGAATTTGAGTTTTAGTATGCAACAAATACACCCATATATACAGTTCTAGAAAAATCATCCACAATGTGTAGAAGATAGTGTGTCTTATGAAGGAGTTGTCTATAAGACTTATAAGTTAAGTCACAACAGTTCAAAAATTAATGCTAGCTTTATAGTCACTAACAAAAAAAAATTATCACTAACTAGAATACTTACATTGTACAAGCGTGTAGTCAGTAAATAAAGTATCAATCAGATATAAGAACATTATGTGTTGAATCTGTGTATTAATAATTTCTTTTTTTGGGGTGAAAGAGCAGAAACAAAATAGAAAAACTGAGGGGCCGTTTGGTTGGGGTTAATAATAAAAGGGAAAGGGAATGATCAGGCCCCATTCCCTTTGTTGATGTTTGTTTGTCACATTTAATCATTCCCTTTACCCATTTTTATTTTTAACTTCACCCAAAATCCTTCTACATTGATTCCCCACCCCCCCTAGACTTTGTCATTCCCTTTCCCTAGCCACCATTACACCACCATTCCAACAACAGCCACCACCCTTCTACCCTACCCCCACCGCACAGCCACCGCCGAGCCACCTTGCTGCCCTTACCCCGGTCATCGCCGCTCCCCCGCCACCCGCTGCACCACCCTGTTCGCACCTTGAAACCTCGTCGCAGCACCCTCGTTTGCACCTCCCATTTCACACCTCAAAACCCTCGTCGCACCACCCTCGCTGTGGGGTTTCAGATGATGGATAATTACGGATTATGAGTGGGTGGAGGTTTTCCGGGGAGGGGAGGGTTAGTGGAGGTGCGGCGGGCTCTGAGGGTCGCCGAAAAGGTGGTGGCTGGGCGGTGGGGTAGATGGAGATGTGGGAAAGTGAAGGAAAAGGGGGTTTATGGTGGTGTTGTTGGTGGTGCTATGGTGGTGGTGATTCCTTTGGTTTTTGTAAAACAAATAACATGTTATACGGAATGGGTTTCATTCCATTCCCTTTGAATCCCTTTGTTCATTCCATTCCATTTACCTTGTGCGAACCAAACAGCCCCTGAAAATAAACAAAAGAGCAAAAAAAAAAGGAAACACAACAAACAAAGAAAAAAATATAGTTAATGTTGGCCCTCTTTAGCACTAACCCTGGCTGCGTTGATTCTACTAAGATCCTCCAATAAAATAACGGAAAATCTTTAGTGACCACCTTGAATAACACATACTTTTGATCTAGCTTAACCCCATATTAGCTAATCAGTCTAAAACTCGATTAGCTTCCTTATAGCAAAAGTTTATTGTAATCATTTCTCGACGAGTAATATGAGCTTTAAATTTTCGGATGATATGAATATAGTGATTTGGACTATCTTACGGCCATCATCTCAGGCAACTAGCCACCTAGCAATCCATGCAAGACTCCATTCAATTTTCCCTTAGTACAAGTACAACATCTGTTTAGGGTATTTTTACCCTACCACGTGGCCCAATCTGAGGGTGACACGTGTCAGCCTCAGATTGGTCCAAAATGGACCAATCCCTTCTTGACACGTGTCATTCCAGAAATAAAGGGGAAAAGGCGGCCATCAGGCCCAAATCCCGAGAACGCCGGAAAACGGCGCAGCCCGCCAATGATTAGGGTTCAGTGACCTAATCAGGGGCAATTCCCAAATACCCTATAAATAGGGAGATGTCTCTCATTTTGAGGACACGTTTTATCATTTATTACACATTTACTCTTTGAAAGAGACATCCTGAGCTTGGAATCCGAGCAGATCCCTACCTAAATTTTCGCACCTTTTTCTCCCTTCAAGTTTCTAACTTGTGCGTCGGAGGCGGAGCACCACCCAACTGGTGTCTCCGTTTGTTTTGCAGGTACAGCTCACCCCGGATCAGTCTTCATGTTGTAACTCTCCCGAGGAACAAAAACACCCAAAACATTTGGCGCCGTCTGTGGGGAGAATACCTCGAAGATGGTTCAAGAGTTTGTACCCTCTAACCGTCTGGGTGAAGACTCAGAAGTTTTTACAGACCATGAGGAAGATGAAGATCCTCAGGTCGAAGCCTTTACAGCCGAAGACGGCTCTCTCAGAACTAAACGCATCCGGCCCAAAGACACTCTGGAGCGGGGTACCTCCCAGGCGGGTCCAAGCCGACCCTCTGGGCAGCCGGAAGGGGAAACCCAAACGGCCGCTGGATCAGCCCCTGTCACGCGAGACGAACTCATGAGATTCATGACAAGTTTCAAGGGTGAAATTACAGAGCTGATCACCAAGAGCCGGGCTGGCCCAAGTAAAGGCCAGTCGGCGAAGAAGACTCCTCCAGAGAAGGGGAAGTCAGTCAGAAACCGGCAGCCCACTCCCCATCCAAAGGAGAAGGCAGCCGGGACCATTGATTGGTCAAAAATTCTCCTTCCTGGGAGGAACACCAATAACACTCGCCGACCTCAGCAGCCGGTGAGAAGTAAAAAATCAACTATTGATGCCCGGGAGATCATCAACCGGAAGAGAAACCAATCGCTGTCTGAGTCGGCTTCAACGTCGAATTTTCCAGATAGCTTCAACAACATTTCTGCAGGGAGTGCACCCTCCTTGCATGAGAGTCAGACAGGCGGTAGTACCGTCCATTCTGGCCCTCATATGATTGGAGCTGTCCCGTATGTGCCTACTCCGGCTTACGGGCAGTATCCTCCTCACTTCATGCAGCCGGCCTTCTTTGGGGGTCAGGCGGCATATCCAAATGTCCAGCCATTGGACTGGCAGCTTCGTCTGCTGCGCCTGGGTGAACAACCTTCTGCGTTCACTCGGGAGATAACCGAGGCGGCTCAGCCGGCCAAGATTAAGAATGTGTTGGTTGGTACCTATGATGGTACCACCAATCCGGAAGATCACCTCATGGCTTACACCAACCTCATGTATCTGCAGGGGTTGGATGATGGCACTTGGTGTCGATGCTTCCCGGCTACATTGAAGGGCATTGCCCAACAATGGTTTGGCAACCTACCAGCCGGGTCCATAGACAGCTTCAGGAAGCTTGCCATTCTGCTTCCAACTTCTCAATGAACATCCCTGCTAAGAAAACAAGCCTTGATTTGAGCACTGTTAAGCAGGGAGAGGGAGAAGGGATGCGCTCATATGTCAGGCGGTTCAACTTGATCAGAATTCAAATTCAGGGACTGTCTGATGAGGTAGCTTTTACAGACTTTTTCAAAGGTCTGAGAGACGGGTCGACCTTTAAGTTCGACCTAGTCAGAAAAGGGGCTTTCACCCTACAGGCGGCCTTGAGGGAGGCGGAAAGCTATATTCAAGCTACCGACCTCTGCTCGTCTGGTAGCCAGTCGGACTCTAAGAAGTCTGAGAAGCAGAAAGACAACCGGCCTGCTCAGCCGGCTAAAAAGAAAGAAGAGAGCAAGAAGAGAAAAGAGGTCTGGGCGGTTAGTGATTCTGACCAGCCGTCCTAGAAGAAGAAGAAACAATTTAAACCGTACGCCCCAAAGTACGAGTTTAACAAGGACTGCAACTCCATCCTCATGGAGATAAAGGATCGGCAGTCCCTTGAGAAGCCGAATCCAATGAAAAGTTCCGTTCAATCCCGGAACAAGAATAAATTTTGTCAGTTCCATTAGGAGGTCGACCATGACACCAACGACTGCTTCAGTCTTCAGCGTGCATTGAACCGTCTGGCTGACAAAGGGTTGTTGAAGTCCTACATGTTTAAGTCCCCAGCCGGGGCAAAAAAGAAAAATAAGGGTCAGTCCTCCAAGACTACCCCCCAGCCTTCTAGTAGTTCGGATACCGACAAGGAGCCGGTCTACACTATAGCAGGCGGGTTCTCATGTGGTGGCCCTACCATCCGGGGCACCAAGAGCCATCTTCGAAAGATGGACAAAGATGATGATGAGCAGGCGTCTGCCAGCTCTTCCTTCCCAGACGTCTTGATCACTAAGAAGGATAGGGGCAGCGTCCGCCGCCCTCATGATGACCCGGTGGTCATTGAATGTAAGGTTGCCAACCAGCTGGTTGGACGGATCCTTATAGACATCGGCAGCTCATCAGACATCATCAGCCTTCGGTGCCTGCAAAAGCCGAAATACAATGTCAGCAGCATGCATCCGGTCACCCACCCCTTGGTTGGTTTTGGGGGTGGGATGGTCTACCCAGCCGAAAGGATTGACTTACCCATCCGGCTGGGAGAGAAGGGCCAAGGACGACATATTGTCGTCAGATTCTTGGTCGTTGAGGAGTTGACCGCCTACAACATTATCCTTGGCCGGCCGACCCTCAACGTAGCCAAGGCAGTAATCATCCCATCTCTCATGCTCATCAAGTATGAGAGGGATGACGGCACTGTGGGTTTCCTGAATGGGGATCAGAAGACGGCCCGAGAGTGTTCCTCTCAGCCGTCCGAGATACCGTGGCCCCAGGCGGTCAGGAACCCATAGACCTTGACAATGTCAAGGATGCCGACCCAGCTCCTGCCCCACCAGCAGCCGGAAAGAAAAGAAAGGCACCTCTGCTGGTGGAGGTGAAGAAAGAGAAAAAATAGCAATCACTAGCCGGTGAACGGTCAGATGAGCTCCGTCCCCAACCGGC